GCTGCGATAGGACAGGCCGTATGATTTCTTTGGGGCTGCGGCCACCAACCGTTAGGAGATAATAAACATCTGGGATAGTGGTCCCCTTAAAAGCACGAACCGTATCAAAGAGCTCCTTAATAGCAGTATGGCGCAACGACCGATGCACGCAAAAATCTCGGAGGAATTCAACGAATGAATAGTTAGATGCGACAGTGGTGTCATCAACTTCCTGTACGTCTCTATCTAGTACGCTGTCATAAACCTTTAATACGTACCGGAAGGAATTTCTGGGATGAGTACAGGCATCCCCAGTTCGGCGTCTTCAGTTTCAGCAGCATTCGACGTTGACGGACGCATTGCAACTTTATCTCGAAAAGCCTCCAGATAGGCACGCTTTCTGCGCTGTATGCGCTTATATATAGTGCTCCGGTGTAATCCGTAGTATGATCGCTGCATATTCACTTTCAATGTATGCTGAACAACAAAATTTTTCAGGTATTTCTGCACATTTCATTCACAGACTGCTTCAGTAAGTTAATCAGCGAGTTACAATAGGCCGGCGCTTAAAATCAATAATTAAACAATAATATTATGAGAAACGTAAATAAATTTTTAAGAAAACATTCGTACCTGGACAAACAATGGTAGATATGATCTCAAAATCAAAACGGTGGTTATCACGCGACAGAACGCACGACAAGTCAAGGCGAAGAATGACCGCCTTCTTGGGAAGTTGAAACAAAACCCTTGGTTTATTCAACGTCCATGGGATCGACGCATTCTATCAAATTATACTTTACAAACCTACTTCTTTTTAATTTTAACATCTTCTTTACATAAAATTAATTAAGTCTGGCGACCAGCACGTGATACTTGTTCGAAAATTCACGAGTACAGTTCGATTTTCCGAAGATCTTCTTTCTTTTCATCATATCATCTCGGAATGCAACTTACTTCACTTATCCAACATAAAATTATATTTAAAAATTACTTAAATTGCGTTTCTACCCCGACGGATGTAAATACACAGCAATGAAAAACGTTAAGGTTCCTGACTAATTTATATGCCTTAACCTTCACCCCCGGATAGCCCGGTATTTCTCCGTCGCCAACACCGTCCAATCAGGGGATTGTGCTAGCAGGGTTACTTGGAACAAGTGTGTAGTCGCCTAAAATTATGTAAACGACCTTCTTTGAAATGTTCGGCTTGCCGAAGCATTTCTTAACTACCGTGTACCGATAGTGAGTTCAAAGGCACTTGCCTATATATCCCCTTAATACACCTTATTTGAATTGAATATCCGTCGGCCGTTTTCTTCTGTTTATATTTATTTATCATTCACAAACTACCGATCTTTATTTCGTTTGAAATTTTTGATAAACTTCTTGAGCCGTGTTTTGGTTTCATGACGGTCTGTGCATACTGTTCCGTTGTACGGCCGTCAGTTAGTTTTTGCGTTGAAAAGCCTTCCATGTTTAGAGCGGAAGTAATCATGTTCGCCCGATAGTCTACTATGTATGTCAATCAGCCGGATTTCGAGCATATTATTTTGCTCTACACTGCTTGCTTTGAACTTTCTGATTTTAACTATTTTGGCACAAAACTAGATTATTATCCAGGAGAATTCAAGTTTTATTTTGGTATGTGTAGTCAGTGCGTCAATCTAACGTTTTAATGGGTAGTCAATTGCTAGCGCAGTTTGAAATAGAGACCTTGCTGCAAAGTATGATCTTCGTCGCGAAACATTGTTAAATCCCTTTTTATTAGTGTTAATAACCGCCATCTTCCCATATTCCTTCATCATATACCTTCTGTGATATGAACCGAGGCTTTCTTCAAGTGTATATTAAAATATTAACTTTACATAATTAAAGATGTTACAACATTCCAGTAATATTTCGGCCTCTCCACTCTATGATGATAGCAAAATACCAACATACATTTACTACATAAATACTAGCATGAGGCCGACATGCTTATCTTCACACTGTGCCTACCTATCGTACGCCATATGAACATAATATCTCATCTGCATATACCCGACTAATATTTTGCTGGCAAGTTGCCGGCAGGGGTTACTCCAAAGTTGCTATCATCGCAGACCACTGAAAACAAGAGAGGGCGACAATCTCACCCAATTAGAGTGCTTCCTGCTGTTCAACACCGGATTTTCATTGCGGTTCCTCGGTTTTGTTATTTAGTAACGATTACAGCATCCGAAATTGTTCGCATGCAAATAGCAGTTGATCTGTACTGTGTTAAAACCCTAACAGAGATTCCTATGAATGTCAACCATGTGCTCGTTTGTATCGAATTTTGCAGCGGATATGCAAAAGCTGCATTATTCAGCTGAGCTAACTTTTAGTGAGAACCCGGGAACAATTTTCAGGTGGTTCATACCACAGGACGTAGTCCGGCAGGTGAATAACGTAAATATTGTACACCACGTCTTCGCTGCCGCCTATTTACTCCTGCATTACTAGCTCAGCTTTGCTGGCCTGTGTACGATCAATGATAGGGTTGCTCTCTGTCAGCGATCTCGCGAAATGGCTGCTAGGCGGATTGTGTTCACAGGGACCACTGACAAGAGTCGGTCACTCACGAACTATCCAAGGACTAACAGTATAGAGACTAGTACAAAAATAAGATGCACCGATATAACAGGGTTGTCTCAGCGGAGGACGCTTGCAATTGCAAAACAGGAATTGATGCCCGAAAGATCGTGGGCACAATCAAGCTTACTAATGCGTCGATACGCACGTTTTCTGCCCACTGCGCTGGATAGGGTTCCTAGGCCTATTAACCACCAGTTATATGTCAACTGTGAAATATAAGTCCTAGTCGAGGCAAAACTTAATTTATTACTATTACAGAAAAATTATTACCAAAAATTAAGCGTATCCCGTTGCTGTTGCTTGGTCGCCTTCAAAAAATGTTGCCATTATCGCCACAGCCTCTTCCATCGCCGTGCATGTTAACGCAGGCGGTGCCTATCAGGCAGTCGCATATTGTGCGTGCCTTGAAGAGGAGATCCACAAAGCGGAGTTTCGGACCTAATATTTACATGCTAGAATTGTTGCGTATTAGTAAATACTCCACCATAACATCCCTGTCCTTTTGATTATGTCATACGCTGTATTATCAGAGGGCATTGTGAGGTTTTGGCAGGCGAATTTGTAACAACAAGAAGCCGACCGACCTCCACTAGACTTATGATATAGACCCGTTAAAAAGAAGCTGTTGAAACCCACAGAATGCAATACATCAGGTGAATGAGGTCGCCGGGTTCTTCAGTTTGTCTACTAACCCTAGAATGTTCAGTGTTTGAACTGCACTTCTGACGCGGAAATTGCCTCTTTCGAGCTTACTAGTTATTAGGTTTTTGATTTGGAACCCATGGCAAATTTGCCGGCGAATGGACATTAAGAACAACAGCGGCTTTCGAATCGATG